GCTGCAAGTGCTTTTTATGCAGTTTTTGCAAAGCTATATGTGGAAGGAAACTGTGACCTAGGACAAGCTGATGGCATAAGATGTAAGTACAACTCCTCCGGCTTCATATACAAAAAAAATTATTGCGCTAGCTTACTTGGTTGCAGCGCTACCGGGATTTAAAAATAGCTATGCAAAACGGAGCGTGCCCGCTCCGACCAGCTTTAAAGGGTTAAGAAACAAATACTAAGACATGTCTTTTTTCTCTTAAGAGTTGCTGATTAAAATGGTGTTTGAGCGTTGGACGTTGTGGAGCTAGGGCTGGGCGGTTGGACGTTAAATCAAAATTGTGATTAATTAAACATTTTCCTCAGGTTCGAATAATGAATGATTATGATTGTAAGGCAAGCACACAAAAACTAGGTTTGTGCTGTAAATATGCTGAACCACTAAAACTGAGATAGTTTTGGTATTTTCCCATAGTCGTCTTCTTTTTGTTTGATGTTGTCTTTACTATAGCCACATATATGTCCAAACAATGGAAATGGTAATTATATTTGGCAGTGTTTTATGTTTCCTCCATGAAGGGGGTCATGCATGCCGCAGACTGGACATAGCAGAGATAGTATATAATGGATGAAGAATATGATTCATTTTTGACTTACTGCCCAACCCTATGTGGTAAATTGTTTACAATAAGTAGCCCATCTTTAAGCATCAACTGACAAATTTGTTTGATTTCTTCTCTTCTTTCAGAGCTCTACAAACCCGAACATAAAAGGTCTTGAGAAGACTTTCAGGATAGATGTTTTCCTGCTGTTTTTCCTGAGAGACAACTATAAAGCATACAAATTTTTGGAAAAACAACTGTCGTCAATCGGCTGCACAGTGGAGCTAAATTTTGATGAAGAGGAGGTTTTGGTTAGAGGAGAGGTTGACAAGGGGCCAGGAGGAGGATTTGGTGGCGCTGCAGAGAAATGGGAGTGTCAAGTGGATCGGGTCTTTGTCCAGCTCACTGAAACCTACCTCTGCTATCATGTGCTTGAGCCAAAGCAGTTGAAAATGGTACTGCAGGACTCGGCCTTTAAGACAGATGATATCAAAGTTTACACAGAGAGTGGCTATGCTGTGGTTGTGGGAGAGGTTGATGCCATGAAGGAGAAGATTGCA